TTTGAAGCTGCCCGTACAATGCGAGTGCTGCCAATAAAAAAACAAAACAAAGTACATAACCTGAAAGTGTCAAATTTTGTTATTAATAAATAATAATGGGTGGTGATGCGATTCTAGCCTGGTCCTAACTTGGGAGCCTAGTTAGGACCAGTTTATGGGTCCATTTTAGGACCTAGAAAGGACCATCTCAGACAGTATTTTCTATTTCATTATAATTTTAATTAGTTAATAATATTTGTTAAAGAAATAACCTAAATTATTAATAATAAGTATTAGTTTTAATTAATTATTATTTTTTTCAATTAAATGATGACCAAAAGCTAATTCATAAATAATGTTAGTACATGCAGAGATTAATATATATACATTAAAAATTATAAAAAAATTAGAAATTTGTTAATTAAATTATTTTACAGTATATATAATCATTAAATTGCATACTTATACGAATACAATGCAGAAAAATCGGAATAAACGCAAACCTAAGAAGTAAATAAAATTTAACGCACGCGGGAATCGAACCTACGACCTACGGACTACGAGACTAACGCCCTAACCACTATGCTAATGAAACTAGTTGAGACCAAAATTTTTATTGTCAGTGACTTGTGGACTTGCTTTTGATGATTCAATATGGTATTTATTGACACCAATACACGATAATAAATAAAAAAAATAGTTTAACAACAACAATAATAATAAAATAATATCCAAATATAAAAATTCAAAAATTAATATTTTTATATTATATCAAGAAAAAAAATATCTATACATTTTCGTTAAAAACAAGTTTTTTATTGTTCTCAATCATTTTTAACATTAATTTCTTGGTCTAAAAAAAATATTCGTCTTTTGGACTTGGAAATTTTTCCTAATTAATTAAGCGGGTGATCCACTTTTTAAAAAAATGTCAAAAAAATTTATGTTAAAAACACGTTTTTCATTATTCTAAATCATTTTAAGCATTAATTTTTTGTTGCAAAAAATTTTTTAGACTTGGACTTAGAAATTTTTGCTAATGAAACTAGGAAGCCCAGGTAGGTCCTGGGTTGGACCTGGGTGGGTCAGCCCACATTCGAATTGCAATATCTCTTAGTGTTTAGCACCAACTTAAACGAAACTTAAAATCAGCGAACGAAATTAGAAATATATTTTACTAATGATAATTATATTGCAGTCTGTATCTGTTTAAATAAATAAATAAATTTTGCTGTTTTATTAACTTTTGTAACAAATTACTTAAAAACTTGCAGTTTTTTATCTAACTTCGCGATTATTACACTTGAGTAGTGAAATATGAAGATAATTTATAATTTTAACAATTCAGCATTTGTTTAAACAAAAAATTGTTGTTATTTATTAATTCTTAAGACAATAAAGCGTCTAGACACTTGTAGTCTTTTAAAATTTTGCAATTAACTAATCTGAGTATTTACTTATTGCAAAATTAGAAAAAACTGCTAGTTTCTAGGTTGATTGTGTAAAAAGTTAGTAAATAACAATTATTTGTTTAAACAATTGCTGAATTAATAAATTAATAAATTAACTTTATTTTATAGTATTTGTATAATTTTCTGATTTATGTCAAACAATAAATTGTTTAAACAAATATGATTATCAATTAATTTTATAAATATTAATTGAGAATATTTATCAATTTTTACATGTTTTTCATGTATCAATTTTGACACTTTATTTTCCTAAAAATTTTTTTAAGTCATAACTGGATCTCCTAGCTAGTACCAAGTTAGGACCAGCCCAGGATATATAAAAAGGGGTTGCCAAGTTAGGTCCAAGCTAGGGCCAATAATCATTTTAGGCATAGCATGGTGATTTCTACACGGGGATATGAAATTAAATGTCTCAATATGAAACATATTTTGTATCTCAATGGTTTAAACACGTAAAGCAACTCATTTTAAGACACTTGTGAGATGCCAGTTTTTGCAGTGTAGGTTCGAATCCAGTGAAGCGAATTACGAATTTTAATGGCGATAAAATTGTGTATTCTGTGTAGTTGGATGCGTAATAGGCGTCAAGTTATCAAATAAAGTGAAATACTATAAAAAAGTAGTGTCTGGAAATTATTTTTTCTTGTTTTTAGCATTTTTTAAAAGTTCACGAATTTTTCGTTAACTTTGACGAAAAGTTCGGAAACAGTACTATGTTTCTAGTGAAGGAGTTGATGAAATTTTGACGAACTGTGTTTGTTGATTTTCAAGAATTTTGTGTCCCATCCAAAAGTGATATACTAGTTCACGAGAGATTCGTGAACTTTTTTTTTTCCGTGTATACACGCAACTACAATATTTGAGCATATATTATTCCTTATATACTCTACACATATTTCATGAAAATGAATTTACATAAACACAAATAGACAATAACGATAATAAATAATAAACAATTGTAACACTATTTATACACAATAAACTCACAACGCGATTATATAGACGTGACGGACAAATTGAGATAGCAGATGGCTAAAGAATATTGACTTATTTTATGAAAATACTCTTTTTTAAGTTCATATGTTATATACCAGTGCCAGTCTTTGACGGGTTTTACACCGAAAAAAATGCCTAGGACCCGTATACCAGGAATTGACTAGGTTTCCTAGTTACGAGAGGAGCCAACCATAGATTCCTGGTCAAAGTAATAAGATTCAAGCATAGTTAAAGTGACCAGGAAAATTAGTCGATGTAATCAGGAAAAAATAGTCAAATTGACTAGGAGAATAATATTAGATTTACACTGTGTATCATAATTATTTGAAATTGCTAATCAAATTCTTATTATCAAATAAAAGAGAAAAACTAATTAAAAGAAAAAAGAAAAAAATTAATTATTGTATTTGAACATATTTATATTTGACTTTGTATTTATATACCTTGGAATTAATTTAAACTTATGAAATAAATATTTGACGCAGGGGGGACGCGAACACCTGAACCTAACGAATACGCACTTTGAAACCCGGAACGATAATCACTACACTAAACACGACTTGGTATTTTAATTTTTTAATAGACACTAGATTTTCGAGTCAAAATACAATACTTAATCAGATGATGTTTTATACATTTCGAGTACACAATTTTATACACTTGTCAAAAACTATTTATTTTTAATTATTTATGACATTCAAATGAAAATAAATTTAAATTCACAAATTATTGCAAAGGTAAATTTTCAAACACACTGCGCGATTAAAATAGTAAAAATGTTGTCACCATGTGCGTAAAAATTTTGACGATTTATATTGAAACCTAACCAAAAAAGTCTGAAAGAATTGACTAATATAATTAAATAGTTTACTTTCTAAAACATGGACTATCTATATTTCCAGAGGTTCCGAGAAACCAGCAATTTTGATGTATGTAAGAACTCCATTTTATGTACAAAAAATAGACGCGAGTAATGATAAAAAATCGTTTTAGGAAATCACGATAAATGACGCGAAAGATATAGAGGTAAACACTGTCAGAACAGAAGCAGACGCGTGCGCATTATGGAAATAGGCAAAATTACTAAAATCCTAGTCAATTTGACTAGGATTTGCAGGGTTGTTTTTGTCAGGCTTGAATTTGTTGAATCAACCTAGCGATCCTAACCATAATGATTAGAAATCCTTATTACTTTTACTAGATTAAGATTAACTATAGGGTCATAGTTAATAATACCATCGAGATTTTTTTCGGTGTAGTTTCTACATTTGACATTGTCTACCAATTGCGTGGGGAAACCGATAAATAGCCGGGAATTTAATTTGACCGGGAAAAGTCGGTAATTTTCTTACCAAATTAAAAAAAGTTTTATTATATTAATTTTTTTTAAATTGCTTTTTACTTTAATTTTTGTTGATGTAATATTTATGTAAACAGACCCGAGTCAAAGTTTAAGCCCTACTTTCAGCCTAAACATATAGGTTTTATTTAAGTTTTAGCAGTAGTAACGTAGGGTCTAATTGCGACACAATTATTTCGAATTAGACTCTACTATGACTCCAAAAGCTGGTGGAAAATTAGGATTAATTTTTAATTCATTAATTGCAGTACTAAAACGCATAAAGTACTACAAGTTGACAACTACTGTTCCTGAATAACAAATTTGATAGAAAAAAGTTTGTCACTGATTCAAATAGTGATATTTTCCTAACGAAATAGTTAATGGTAACTAATTATTAATTTTTCACAGTAAAATTTAATTCCCGGCTATTTCCCGGTTGGTAGAAACCCTATCAAATGTATTAGCCGAAACTAAAACCCGTCGAAGACGGGTCCGACAGCTAGTATTATATAATATTTAATTGAAAAACTTCCAAATTATTCAAAATTTCACGAAATTGTCTTGTAAACAATACAAGTGGATTTTAGAAATATTTTAGTTAAAATTTCCAGAAAATAATTGAATTGAAATTTTGAAAATAATTTCTAATAAGTTACAGTAGTAATTCTTAAAAATTATTCTATTTTAAAGGATTTGAGATTTGAATTTTTTTAAAAATCTTAATACCTGTGGAAAAATAATGGATAATAGTTAAATATTTATTTCAAAAAATCTATTTAAGTTCCAAATGATTTTATAGTTAAAGGTATTAAAAAAATGTATTATAAACATATTTTGGAGTTCCAATTATTTTTAGAGTAAACTAAAATATTTTTAGGGTTTGGGAAAAAGTCGAATTTTTGTCTAAAAATCAGGGAATTCTTTCAAACTTTCATGGAATAATTTATTTTCAGAGTTATTCTTTATGACCGGGAACTGACCGTGAATTTTTTTTTATGAAAAAAGTGGCCACCCCAATTTTTTAAATACGATTTCATTAAAAAAGACATTTGGAAAATAAAGATTAGAAAATATTTTTTAGAAAGAGTGAAAAATAAATTTGTTGGTATAATAATAGAAGAAAATTTGTTTGATTATTTTATATTATTTTCATAGAGAGTATTATATAAAAAATATAAAATGTAGAAAGGATTTTTAATAAATCTTTATACCCATGATATTGCAGGTGGCTGGAGAAGTAGGTATTTCATTCGTATTTGTCGTGTTGTTTTCGAAGTGGCTGTCTCTTCCTTCAATCATTTCTTCTGAAGGATCTCCAGAGGCTTCCAAGTTTTCGATGGAGTCGGTGCTACTACTTTGAACAGTATAGGTCTTTTCTGTGGAAGGAGAGGAATCCGTACTCGAATGATAAGTTTGCCACCAACAGTAAATTTCACCGGCGACACACAAGCAATGGGAATTGGAGTCGTGGGAGGGAATCTGTAACAATTTTTTTCAAAATATTCTATATACTTTATTCCTCGATTTATTACCATAATCATTAGTAATATTTCGAATATTTTGGTAGAGAATTTTTTTAAATTCACGAATATTTATAGGGTATTTCCTTGTTTTGGACAAATATTTCCAAATTTGGAAATTTTCTCTCTTTCGTTAAAAAAAGGACTTTGATTAGTAATTTTTTTCTATTGTAAAAAAGCGTCTGTCAGCTTTCTGCAATTAAGCTTCACAGAAAAAATTCATAATGAAAATAATTTGAAATTTAATTCTTAATTCAACTATCAAGATGTTGAAATTATTTTCTCTCGCGCATATTTCATAGAATTTATTTCACAGCGCATATTTTATTGCTCGATATTATTTATTCCAAGGGGTTTTTTAATATTGAAAATTCTTCTTTATAAATAACGATTCTCCACTGACCGAGTTGCATTATTGTCTTTGGAATTTTTCTTCGGAAGAAAAAAGAAAATAAAACTTCAAGAGTTAGAGAAAATATATCAGATATTTTTTCAAGTGAGAAATCTGTCAGGGGAGTTTTTGAATGAAAATGTGCATGAGGAAAAATTCAACTTTGGGATTTAAAAGTACAAGAAAAAAAAAAAATGTCGATCGATAAATTGGATGACCCGATTTGAATGTAGTGTAGTATTCTTTAAAAGAAAAATTTTTGTTGTTAATTGGATGAAGTAATAAGGAAACATCGTATATACTTGAATGTTGCAAAAGTTTTTCACATATGATAGAGGAGATGAAAAAAAGCATCTCTTTTAATTAATTCAATATGAATGTCAACTAGATTTTTCTCTTTCGAGTAATATTGCGTATATATATATATATATATATATATATATATATATATATATATATATATATATATATATGTGAAAATATTTCAAATGGAAACATATATAGGGGACTATGTACAAAATTTTCATTTGTTTTAACTATTTGCTTTTGAAATTCGTTTCCTTTGTTTGATTGACATATTTGGAATTGTTCTTTGTGACTCTTTAAAAAATTTTTACTTCTAATTAATTATTTTTTTTGCGGAAGTAAAATATTAGGGGTTTAGTTTTTGTAGACTAGTCATTTTTTAAACTCGCCAGTTTTTTTTGTTTAAATTTTTTTTTGTTAATTAATTTGCGTTTAATAATTTTGCTTCTATTATAATTTTCATGTGAAGAGAGTAAAATCTTACTTTAATATTCTACTTGAAAAGCGAAAAATCTCATATACATATTACGGATTGTATAAATATTCATTCGTTTTTGCATATATGCGTTTCTTTGAGGCATGTTGCTGGAATAAATCGATCAAATAATTTGGTGCGCGTCTACCAATAATTTGCGCGACTCGCCTTAAAAGTTCACTGAGTTGTTCGAAATGAATTTTACAAATTTTTGTTTGATCCGCTTATATGATCACTGGATTTTTTTCCTTTTTTCAAAATCTATTATTAAATCACGTATATGAGTGTGAAATTTTTTTGTTTTATAAAATTCAATTTTTTTTATTAGTTTGACTAATAAATTTTTAAATTAGTTTAATGAATCAATTTTTTAATCAGTCTGAATTTTATTGTTTTGTAAGTCTCGCATAGCGCATGAAAGGGACTTTTGTCCTGAAAAATGAAATTATCTTTCATTAAAAATATTAAAATTAATTTTTCCAATTTAGTTATAATTATTCTTCGAATTTATTTTTGTGTTTGACTTTTTTCAACATTTTTATGAATTTCGGTAATAACTTCTGTCCTAGTTGAATTTTTGTTCATTTTAAAAGAAAACAAAGATTTACAGTTGTAATTTTGATAAAAATTTGAATTTTTGGTTAAAATTCCAGAATATAATTTAAGTTTTGAAGAATTAAATTCGAAATTTTTTAAATAAAATGAATTTTAATTGGTTAAAAATTAAAATTTTTTAAAATTTAAATTTCAAATTGAATCTTTTGAAAATTTGAATTTTGAATAATTTTAATTGAAACTTCTAAAGAACTTAGTCTTTTGAAAAATTCTAATTCACAGTTTTTTGGATTTAGTTAAGGCACTTTTCCTATGTGACGGCCGAAATTTCAAGCTTTTTTCAGGAATTTTTTTTTACAGAAAATAAAATATAATTCTATAACTTATTTTACATGTTATAATTGGTGTCTAAAAATATACAAAAAAATTTTTTTTTAGTGATTTTTCAAATCATTTAATAATAATATGCTGCGGAAGCCGAAAGCAGGACTGAACAAGACTGCTTCCACTGTTCCCAAATTTACACGATTCTCACGCGTTCATTCAATATAACGTGAATATATTAATTATTATTATTAATAATAAACAGTATTGTTATTAATATATATGTATTTACATATTTAATGACAATAAGTTATTATTATAATAATTATATTATTTTCATATAAATATCATATTACTAACAATAAATGTCATTTAACATAATAATATTGAAAAATAATTTTAGCAAAAAAAGACAATTTGTGATAATTGGTACATTTTTTAACTTCATTTTTAACAGACTTTTAATATTATTTACAAACAAGTTCACAAGTTTTTTTTCACAACACTTATTAATTATACAGTAATTTTATTATTTTATGTAACGCTAATAATGAAAAAATCCGCTCGCATGTGGGATCGAACTCACGTCCCCCCCGCCCCAGACGCATTCCGGAAGTCCTTGACGCAACCACTTAAACCGCACGGCCACTGAGTCTCGATGAGAACTCGGGCCAATCTAATATATTAATGCCAGTGCCGTATATTTTGTTACTTATAAGGACAAAGTGAAAACTATGACTAAAAATTTTACACATACTAATCCTGAATTATTTTAATTATTAAAAATGAATATTAAATAACTCATAATAAAATTATAATCATTAAAAATATTTAATGAATAATTTAATAAACATCGATAAATAATTAATATTTTTTATTATTCAGTAACAAAATTATTAACATAATTTATTATTAGATATATTAATAATATATTATTTAAATAAATATAATTTGGAATAATAATGAATTAAAATGTTAAATATTGTAATTGTTATTAATTATAATAATATTTATTAATTGAATAATAATTATTAATAATTATGATAATTAATAAATAAATAATAATTAATTAATTAAATTAATATTAAAAATTAACATAATTAATAAAATTATTAAATATGATGCAGTGTCAGGAATATTTATTGCACATTTTAATTATTATTTATTAATTATCTATAATAATTTTGAAAACATTTATAAAAAAAAATTTCCCATTTAACTTTACAATTAATAATATATTTATACTAAATAAATATAAATATTTATTTATCAATTAATAACTTAATGTTAATTATTATTATTATTTGAAACAATTATTATAATTATAATTATTATAATATTATTTAATTAAGTGAACACGGTAATAAATAAAGATAAACTGAATATTGAGTAAAGATTGATTCAAGCTTGAATCAAGATTAGATGTTCGAGCTTCACACATAAAGATTGACCGAGTCTTGAATCGAGCATGGGACGAGCATTGGGCCCAATGTTGAACCAATATTGAACTAATATTGAGTGACAGTGATGTAAAGCCTGCTTCTACTGTGGGTTACCCACACTGAGCGTTCAAGACTCAATCAAGGTTTAATTTATTGTCAGCATTGGTCTTTCGCGCCTGGGCTGTACACGGAGAAAAATGGAAAAGTGATTTATGCAGTCAGTGTAGTACTCCTTTATAGAATAATATGTGACAGGTACACACTATAGTATTAGAAGTTTCATAGCTGAACAGTTTGGGACTCAACACAAGTTATCCCATTCATCAGCTTAAACAAGACTGTTTATATAGTCTAAGAGGGAATAAGAGTATAAAAAATTGGAATGAGAAATTGCTTTCTCATGTAATTGTTAAAAGAACGCAGCAGTGTACAAAACACAAGTCAATAATAGAAGCGAATATTGAACAAATAGTACTCAGTCCAGTTCTTTCGAAAAATGAATGCCGTGCACATAAAGTAGATACCTACTCGAAAACCACAAGTTATTCTCTCTCTCTCTCTCTCACACTAATGGTCGTTCACTTATCTTACCGTTTCACTTACTATTACTACTCTCAACTATTATGCAGTGCAGTTAAGTTCATTAAATTATTAAATATTGCTGTGAGAATAATTAATTATACATTTCATTCAACGTCAATTTACTATTTTGTACACGGAAAAAAAGAATAATCAAATTTACCATGAGGAGTGTCAAACTTGAAAAAGGTTAGGAAAAAATTAATGTTTTTTATTTATTTATTATTAAATTCTAATAACCGCGTATCAAATTGAAACTAGTTGACAATATTATTTATTCAATATTATGAATATTGTTGACATCCATACTTACATTAATTACAAAGTAAAATCCACGCATCATCTAATTTATTTATTTCATTGGTAAGGGATGTTTCTTAAATAGGAAATTTCCCCCATCGATTGCGTAGCCGAGAGGCTTAATGTAAAAGCGTGCGATTTATAATTATGCGTATATTTAGTTGTATGGTTAGGTAGGTGTTCAATCCTGTATGATTGTAAGATTTTCCGATGCATTTAGTTGTTAATTGTAAGTATGAAGATGTGGGAAGAATAAAACTTGTAAATTAATGAATATATGAATATATAAAGAGTGCATTTAACATATTTTTCTTTTTTTTAATGATTGGTTACTGTTTTTTTTATATAAAATTGACGAAGTGAATAAAAGGAAACACTCGTTTCGCGTCGCGTCGGCCATTTATTTTGACAGGTTCCGCGCCTGCGTTGCCTTATTGTGAAAATTTCGAAGTAGGGGACTGAGTCCAGTTTCTCTACTGTGCACACTGCAGCGCGCCTTATAATCTTCGCCTGTGTTTCAATGCTCTTTACAGTGACATTTGGAACTAAGACCCTCTATCCACTATACGCAACACCCTAAGATGCTTGATGGAAATGAATTAATGTACTTTTACTGGACTGAGTCCAGTTTTTTCAATATTGACTCCCAGTTTGTCAAACTCTATTTTTCTCAGTGTAGCTTGCGCCCGTTACTGTTTAATTCTACGCGCTGTAACTTTGTTAGTTTTTTAAATACATATCTATATAAAACTTTTACATGATATTTCTAAGATATTGTACTTTCGAAACATGCAAAAAAAATCGATTTTTTCAAACCGTCACATATAGGAAAAGTGCCTTAAATTTTTGAATATATATTTAATTGACAAAATTTCAAATAATGGAAATTTCATAAAATTTAAATTTTTTAAAATTTGAATTTCGAATAATTTTAATTAAAGCTTCTAAAGAACTTAGTCTTTTGAAAAATTTTAATTAAAAAATCCTCATAAAAAAATTTTTTTTTACTTTTTTCTAAAAAAAATTTGTTTTTAAAAAATTTTTTTTAAGTTGGTTATTAAAGTTAATATATAATAAAATCTTATTCTTTGCATCAAGACGAATCAATTGGTCTATACAAAGTATAAATTGTATGAAAATTTATAGAGTTAATCATAATTAAAGCTGAAAAATTCGCCTTTCCGCAAAATTATGTTGCCGTATAAGAAAATCTAACTCATTTATTTCTAAAATCTTATTCTTTGCACCAAGACGGATGGATTGGTATATATAAAGTATATATTGTATTTAAATTTATAGAATTAAAACCAATTATAAACAAAAAATGTGCAATTTTAAAAAAAATTCATTTTTTCTTAAAAATCATGTTGCTGTACAATAAAATATTATTTATTGAAAAATAAATCAAAAATATTATTCTTTGTATCAAGACGAATCGATTGATGTATATAAAGTATATATTATATTGAAAATTATAGAATTAATTACAATTAAAGTTGAAAAATTCACATTTTTACTAAAAAATTTTTTGTTTATTTAGATTCATATTACTGTATAAGAAAATTTTATTCTTTCTATTAAGACGAATGAACTTTATTGAACTTTATTAATGTTAAATTGTATTAAAAATGATTTAAAAATTAAATATACTTGTCGTTAATGCTTCCTCCACGAGGAAGCACATTTTTTTTATCGTAAAGAGGAAGCATAATGTTCATGTAATGATCATCTGGATTTACAATTTGTTTAAATTTTAATTCCTGTGGAAAATTAAATATTATTTGGAAATGTTTTCAAACAATTGTCAAATTTTTTTAAAAAATCGTCAAAATTTATTGAAATTAATTTTACATTTTTTTAAGAATTTTATTATAATTTTTAAAAATACTTTTCTTTTTTTAGAAGAAATATGAAAAAATATATAATTATTTGAAAATAATTGAATTAGTTAAAAGTACAGTTTTTTTAAAATTAAAGTATTAATTTCTTTTTGAAAAATTAAAAAAAGAACAAAATCAGACGTTTTAAAAATTTAAAGGAAATTTCTTACTGTTTGACTGTGAGAATATGCCTTTCCATCAAGGGTACATTTCTTCAGAAATGGTTCTTCCGTAATTTCCAAACCGTGCACGGAAATGTCAACCTCGCCAAGCAAAACTTCGTCGGCCGCTCTTCCGGGAGCTGAAAGAATTTTTTAAATTGAACGATGATGAAAAATAGGCCATAGTACAACTCAATTGAGAGAAAATGTTACTCTAACTCGAAATGGCTCTTGAGAGAATATTCAAGAATTGTAGAGAGAAAAATTGAGTTTACAGATATCCCCTTCTCTCTCTCTCTCTCTCTCTCCTCTCTCTCTCTCTCTCTCTCTCTCTCTCTCTCTCTCTCTCTCTCTCTCTCTCTCTCTCTCTCTCTCTCTCTCTCTCTCTCTCTCTCTCTCTCTCTCTCTCTCTCTCTCTCTCCCTCTCTCTCCTCCCTCTCTCTCTCCTCTCTCTCTCTCTCTCTCTCTCTCTCTCTCTCCTCTCTCTCTCTCTCTCTCTCTCCTCTCTCTCTCTCTCTCTCTCTCTCTCTCTCTCTCTCTCTCTCTCTCCTCCTCCTCTCTCTCTCTCTCTCCTTCTCGCTCTCCGCTCTCTACTCTCTCTCTCTCTCTCTCTCCTCTCTCTCTGCTGCTCTCTCTCTCTCTCTCTCTCTCTCTCTCCTCTTCTTTTACAACTATGATTTCTATATTTACTTTTTTTTAATAAAAAGAAAAGATTTTTTTTTCTATAAATTTGAACTTCAATTTTCTCTCTATAGTGAATGAGAATTTTAATTTATTTAATAATTCAAAAGGGATGTATGTGATGATATAGGGAAATTTACTGTACTATAAACGGGAAATTTACATATTTCTTGGTGTGGAGTAGTTGCTAATTAAATATTAATTTCCATTAAGAGTATATAGATATGTCCTTTTAGGTGGCTTTATTGAAATTAGATGCAAAATTCATTTTTGCTAGAAACTTGCGAGAATATGTGAAACGAATTTTATATTTCTTATTTCCTTAACAGTTAACGAGTTTTTTTCTCTCTCTATAAAATTAACTTCAAGTAACATTTTCTCCTTTTTTCTTTTTCCACTAAAGGAAATATTTCAGTTTTAATATTCTTCTTTAGTGAGCTTTTTGAATGTAGGTTTAGG